TAAGGTTTCCTTCTTTTTACAGCTGAATAGTATTCCATTGTGTAAATGTACCTCAGCTTTTTTTTTTTTTAATTAATAAATTTATTTTTGTTACAGATGGTTCTTTTCCCCCCACTGATTCCTCCCTCCCCGCCTTGTCCCCAGCTTTGTTGTCCATGTCCATTGTTCATGCACACATGCATATAAGTTCTATGTATCACAGCTTTTTTATCCACTCACCTACTGATGGGCACTTGGGCTACTTCCAAATCTTGGTTATTATAAATACACTACAGTAAACATAGGGGTGCATGTATTCCTTTGAATTAAGTGTTTTGGGTTTCTCCAGATACAGCCCCAGAGGTGCAATTGCTGGGTCATAAGGCAGTTCCATTTTTTGGAAACTCAGAAATTTTGAACCTTAAATACTTACAATTTGTCTCAAACTGACAAGGTTCTTAAAAGTGAGATAGGATGACTTTTTTGTTTTCCTTCCACGTGATGTTAACACATTGAATGTGTCATTTTAGCTGCAGTCTTGTTCGTCCTTCCTTAGCTCATGTTTGAAAGTCTATTTGTTAACATGTTATAATTTATCTTTTGGACTCAGGACAGTTCATGAAATATTTTTTTGAGTTTTTGTGTAGTTGTTTTTTTTTAATATGGTAAAATATATATAACAAAATCTGCCATTTACCCATTATAAATATGCAATTGAGTGACATTAATTAGATTCAATGTCATACAGCAATGATCACTATTTCCAAAATGTTTCATCACTCCAAACCTATATACTCATTAAGAAATAACCTCCCATTTTTCTCATACCTCAGGTTTCTAGTAACCTCAAATACACTTTTTGTTTCTGAATTCGCGTATTCTATATGTTTCATACAAGTGGAATCATACTGTCTTTGTCCTTTTGTGTGACCTGCTTCACTTAGCTTAATGTTTTCAAGGTTTAATGATGTTGTAGCATGTGTCAGAAATTCATTTTTTTCCATGGCTGAATAATATTGTGATATGAATGCACAACATCTTGTTTATCCATTCATCTGTTGATGGCCTTTAGGTTTTTCACCTTTTGGCTATTGTGAATAATGCCATTGTGATGTGAACATTGGTGTACAAGCTTCTGTTTGAGTCTTTGTTTTCAAAATTCTTTGGGTTTATATATTTAGGAATGGAATTATTGGATTATTTAGTAATTCAATGTTTAACTTTTTGAGGAACTAACAAACTGTTTTCCAGCGCAACTGCACTATTTTACATTCTCAGTGGTAATGTATGAGGGTTCCAATTTCTCCTCATAATCACCAGCACTTATTTTTATTATTATTATTATATTCATTCTAGTAGGTATAAAGTAGAAACTTGTAGTTTAATTAAGGTTGTTGAGCATCTTTTCGTGTGTTTATTGGCCATTTGTGTATCTGCTTTGGAGAAATGTCTATTCAAGTCCTTTGCCCATTTATAAAGTGTTTTATTTTTGTTGTACAGTTAAGAGTATTTTGTATATTCTAGATATTAGACCCTTATGAGGCATATGATTTGCAGTTTCTTCCAATCTGTGGATTGTCTTTCATTTTCTTAATGGTGTCATTTTGATACACAAAAGTTTTAATTGTAATGAAATCCAGTATATCTATTTTTCTTTTGTTGCCTCTGCTCTTGGCATATGTAAGAAACTATTACCAAATCCAAGGTCGTGAATATTTTCCCATTTTAAGAGTTTTGTACTTCTAGTGCTTACATTTAGGTCCCTGATCCATTTGGAGTTAATTTTTGTATATGGTGTAAAGTGAAGGTCCAACTTCATTCTTCTGAATGTGAATATCTGGTTTTCCAAGCACACCAGTTATTGAAAATGCTGTTCTTTTCCCACGGGTCTTGGCACTCTTGTTAAAAATCAATTGACCATAGATGTGAGGGTTTATTTTGGGTTTCTTCATTCCATTCTGTTGGTCCGCATCTCTGTCCTTTTACCTGGACCACGTTTCAATGATTTGTAGTTTTAAAATCAAGAAGTGCGAGTCTTTTTTGTTCTCTTACAAGATTGTTTTGATTATTGAGGTCCCTAGAAATTCTATATAAAATTTAGGATGAAACTTTTCTAATTTCGGGGGGAGGGGGGGGATGTCATTGAGATTGTAATAGGAATTGTGTTTAATCTGTAGGTAACTTTGTGTGTGATCTTAGTATTGTCTTCTAATCCATGAACATAGGATGTCTTTAATTTCTTATAGCAGTGTTTCATAGTTTTCAGTGTACAAGTCTTATGCCACCTTGATTAAATTTATTCCTTTTGATAGTGTAGATAAAATGGTTTTCTTAATTTTTTCAAGTTTTTTGTTGCTAGTGTGTAGAAATACGAATTATTTTTACATATTGATTTTGCATCCTACAATTTTGCTCAATTAGCAAACTTTGGGGGAGAGTTCTTTAGGGTTTTTAACATAAAAACATCATCTGTAAATATAGTTTTATTTCTTCCTTTCTAATTTGGATGCCTTTTATTTCTTTTCTTTTTTTTTGGTGCTCTGGCTAGGTCTTTCAGTGCTATGTTGAAGAGAAACGACAAGAGAGGTTCTCCTTATCTCATTCCTAATGTTAGGGGAAAGCTTACTTTAACCACTGAGTGTAATACTAATTGTGGCTAAAAGAATAAATGGTAATTTTTCTTCCTCTTCCTCACCTCCTCCATCTCAATTCAGAACAATTGATAGAATTAAAGATGTAAAAGATAAGGGGATATTTCTTAAATCCATTCCCTTCTCTCTAATTTAATTTCAGTATTTTTTCCCGTAAATATTTCTGTTGAAAGCAGATTATACATACATAACATGTTTTGATATACCACGCTGAAGGCTAGATGACAAGACTCATTTTCTAACGTGTAACCATATGGAAAAGTGGAATTTGGATTATCCCAAGTAAATGGAAGTAAACCGACCCACTTGCCTCCTCACACTTCGTATCACAAAGTATTTATTGAACAAAAATAATATAACAGTAAAAATGATACATATATGAAAGTGAATGAAGATTTTCAATCATAGAAAAGATGTATACAAGAGATCAATGTTGATCTATAAAACTTAGCCTTAGCAGTTTAACACTGATCAAGCAGACATAAAAAGGAAGAAGAAATGTTATACGTTCTGTGAACCTATTTTGTGACTGAAATAGTTGGTTCAAAACAAAACAAAACACCACACACACACACACACACACACACACACACACAGAATGAGGCAGAGCTGTAAGGGTTATACTTCAATACCTCTAGTTCTCTGTTATAGTTTTTTGATCCATCAAAAATTATTTTTCCATTTCTAGTAAATGGAGCTAGATTATATGTTAATCATAGTATCTGGAGGAAGGGAATACAAGAAACAGACATATAGTCATTTGAGTATTTCCAATCAGTATTTACATTTAAAGATATTTTTGGTTGAGATATTTGCACATGAACTTCTTTATCTGTAAGAATCTTGCATTTGGAGTGCATTCTTCTCTTATCTGACAGTTTTTTTAATGCTCTTTATCTGTTTTTCACCTAACATAGTTTTGGACTCGTAGTTACTTGTAGCTAAGCATGGGGAAGCAGAGCTGGACTGAGCACTGATCACTGTCCCACCTTCAGTGAGCTGTGTGGCCTTAGGCAGCTTCCAGCTTCTCCTGTGCAATTGTCCTTACCTGGAAACCCATGTAGGACATTCTCAAAGGCCCTTCCTAGCTCTGACAATCTGATAAATATCAGCTGGACCAGCTGTTTAGTACCCCATGACAGTAGTGTCTGTGCATTCTGGAATGAGCCCCATTATTTTATATTCAAAGATGCATATTGGAGTGTTTGGATTTTCCCTCCAGATAAGGGCATACATCCCCTCACATAGAGATACTCAGTTCCAATTGAAAAATCTCAACATTTGTATCATAACAAAATTGTAGACTTTTTGAAATATCAAGAAATGCTTATGTTTTTACAAGCTTTGTTTTTTATCCCTGCTATTTAATGCCTGGTTTGAATCAATTATTTAGCCACATTTCAAATTGGTTTCTGTTGCGCCCTGGCCGGTTTGGCTCAGCGGTTAGAGCGTTGGCCTGCGGTCCAGAGAGACCCGGGTTCGGTTCCCGCTAAGGGCATGTACCTCAGTTGCGGTTTGTCCCCGGCCCTGGTTGGGTCGTGTGGGTGGCAACCACTCGATGTGTCCCTTTCATGTCGATGTTTCTCTCTCTCTCCCCCTCCTACTCTATCTGAACAAAATATCAAAAAATGTCCTGTGTGAGGACAAATTGGTTTCTGTTGCTTATAGTTAAGGATGATAATTAACCTGATCTTGAATTGAAAGCACTGGGCACTTTCCAGTTCTCTTACCATTAGAACTTTCATAATGTACAGAACGATGCCCCAGAGTGGTAGCGGCTGATTTTTTGAAGGAACAGAAAATATGTTCCTATTATCACCGCTCTAAACTACACTACAGAAAAGAATTTACTGCTGAGTGTTCCAAATTGTTACATAATCAGTTCAGTTCAACAACGATGAGGTTTCTAAAGAATTTTGTATTTGTTGTATCAGGTTGCTTGCCTTCATTCTCATCTGAAATTTAGTAATAACCTCTCAGTTTCCACAAGCAAGGCTATACCTACACACATGAAGATATCTGGTGTTATAAAATTATGTCTTCGTTGTTTGTTTTCATCACCAGTCTGTGAGCCTCTTCCAAAGCATAGGACTTTTTAATGTTAACAATAGTTCCAGGGGTTAAGAGAAACCTTAACTCATAATGATACAGGAAATCTATCAGAGGGGTGTGATTCTCTATGGACAACTGGGGAAACCAGTGCTAATTTCCTGAAATAAGAATGTGTTAACCTAGTATGGATAGAATAAACTTGATGTAGCTTTTCCATCTCAGATTTTTTTGTTTGGAAGGAAAAGACTGTAAACAGCTGAGAGGCTAGCCTTTCAAAGTTTTTTTTTTAAATGCACTTTAGAACATTTTCTTTTATCAATGTTTATTGTCTAAATATGGCTTCGTTTCTTCTTATAAAAACATTATTTGGATATTACATTTATTGAATTTCAGTTCAAAAGAGGTTCTAAGGCAATTATTATAACTGAAAGCAAAAAAGAAATATGAATATGCTTTCATATTGCCTACTTGTGAAAAATAATGAAATTCTACTAGAGAGCTGTTTGATACTAATTTTCGTCTTTCAAACATTTTCTCTTAATACTAAAAAATATATAAATCAGTTACATAAAACTAAATGCAAAGGAAGGCACAGCTGGTTATAGTGTATATAAGCACAGTTCAGCATATGCAGAATTAAAGAGAAAAAAGCTTCACATCCTTATTAGTTACACTGAAAACCATTAAGAAAAGTTCTTCACTGTCAACAGTGTTCAACACTTAAGACTAAGAGGATATAAAAACAAAAACATTAAAATTCACTTAATGCAAAACAGATTTTCATATATACTTGAATATAAAAAAAAAAAGTTTTAAAAATGCTAACATATATCTAGACCATCCATGTTATGAAAAGTGCAAACCAAATTAACAGAGGGTTTCACAAAGTCCTTCTCATGACACAGGTAAACTAGCCCATGGGGACAAATTCGCTTCATCAGTTAATGAGTCTTTAATTGTAGCCAGATGTCATCAGGACTTCTGAGAGTTCGAAGAAAGGCTTAGTACTGGAGAAGCAGCTCTGTCCAGACTGGGGATTGGCACTGGCATGTGGCCATTAAGCAGTGTTGGGAACTGGAGGAGACAAAAGATTTTTAAGACAATTAGTGTAAATCTGTTGGGAAGAACTTGAGTTCTTTACAGTCCTGGATAGACTACAGTGGCTCAGTTCTGTCATCACTGCTGTGATACAGGTAAGTTCAAATTATTTTACAGAATGAGTAAGTGCAAGACGATAGGTAGGTCAGGACTGCATACAGCAAACAGAAGGGCCCAGAAAATGTCCCTAATTACTTCCTTTGCCTAGGCTACTAGAAAAGAAAATGTACTTTATATGGTGCTAAAGTATGTTCTGACACTATTTTTAAAAAGATTCCAAGTTACACAGAATGCTGATTTTTTTTCAATATTAAGAAAAAAATTAATTTTGAAAACCACAACTGACAGTTTACATGTAAATCAGTAATTTCTAATACTGTAATTTGAAATTAGCCGTCAATTTTCCAGAGTACTACAAAGATGCTTCCCAGGAACTGTTAAAAATGAGGAATGTTTTTATTTTAAAAGATTTAGAGAGCAAGAATATCTTCATTTAGGGGCTGAGAAAATACTCTAATTAAAAAGGTAATATTAAACTTCACAGAAAAGTTTACCCATACACAATGAAACTTAAAGAATAAAGTTAATTTCAGTATTGTTGGTAACTAAGAAGATAAATAGGATAAAAATATGTGTTTTGGTAACTTTCCGGTCTGAAAGAAATACAGCATCTATACTGGACAAGAATAATTAAAGACCTCAACTAGATTTTCATTGTCTAGGATGATAGGATAACCTCCTGGGCTCTCTTCTAGTTTAATTTAGACTAAATAGGAATTAAATATTAAACTTCACTTTAACGCTAAATATCAAACTACAGAGTCCGGTAATATTTGTAGAACAAGTAAACATTTTTGTAATTTTCCAGCTATTTCAGTAACTTACATGTCTGGTGCCTTAACAGTTTATCAATGGTTGTCATTCAATTTCCAGAGCTTGAAGGTAAGTTTGGTTTTCCCCATTTTATAGAGGAGAAAAGAGTTCAACCAGTTCAGGATTGGCTGAAGGTCATAGCTAATAAGCAATAGTAAAGCCAAGTTTTAAACCACTTTGAGCCAAACGGCCCAATTTATTTTTTTCAGGGCGTGGAGGAGTGTTCTTTAATTACTGTTTCAGTTTTTTTAATGGTTATTGGCATATTAAAGGTTTTTGTTTTCTGACACTTTGGAATTTTAGTTTTTTTATAGAATTTTATCCATTTTCAACTGGGTTAAAAAATCTACTTGCAAATCTTTGCTCCTAACCACTAATCCCATTGACTTAGAGCAGCAATTTTCAACCTTTTTCATCTCATGGCACATATAAACTAATTACTAAAATTCTGCGACACACCCCCAAATTTTTTTTTGCCAATCTGACAAAATATATATAATTTTGACTCATTCACACTGGACAACTGTTGTGTTGACTGTCATTTTTTTATCTGACATTTTAAGGGAAAAGAGGTCAGAGACCCTAATAGTCAGGTATGGCATGTTTTAAAGCCCTGGCCGGTTTGGCTCAGCGGTTGGAGCATCCGCCTGCGGTCCGGAGAGACCCGGGTTCGGTTCCCGCTAAGGGCACGTACCTCGGTTGCAGTTTGTCCCCGGCCCTGGTTGGTCGTGCGGGTGGCAGCCACTCGATGTGTCCCTTTCACATCGATGTTTCCCTCTCTCTCTCTTCCTCTCTCTCCCTCCCACTCTGTCTGTACAAAAAATGGAAAAATGTCCTCGGATGAGGATAAAAAAAAAAAAAAAAAAAATTCTTTAGGCACTCTGGTTGAAACTTGCCGACATAGGGTGAACATTGAAAGGAGCAAGTTTTTAGTTTTCGTTCTTTTAGTTTATTTGCATCTTTTCTCATTCTGGTTTTGACCATCTTACTGGTGTTTTCAAAAGAATCAGTTTTGGTTTCATCTGTTTTTAAAAACATTAATGAGCCCTGGCCGGTTTGGCTCAGCAGTTAGAGTGCCGGCCCGTGGACCAGAGAGTCCAGGGTTCGGTTTCCGCTAAGGGCACGTACCTGGGTTGCAGTTCCCCCCACCCCGGTTGGGGTCGTGTGATTGGCAACCAGTCCATGTGTCTCTCTCTCATCAATGTTTCTCTCTCTCTCTTCCCCCCCCTTCTCCCTCCCACTCTGTCTAAAGATAAATGCAAAAGTGTCCTCGGGTAAGAGTAAAAAATTATAAATACATGTATATATTTATGATTTCTGCCCTTTGTTATTTATTTCTATGCACGCAATTGTCACAGTTCCTCTTGGTTAGCCTGACTTTTCTGGCATATTTCATAGTGATCTTTATGGCACTAACTCCCCCCTACCCCTTCTGTCGCTTTTCTTAATTTTGCAACATTTCCTGTTGTTTGCTGGACATACCCCACCAATGCCTCTTCCCCACAAAACTTGCTCTTCTGTTCTCATTAAGTCAGTGAGAGTGGTGGTTATTAGTACAGTCCTAAACTTGACTTAGAGCTCTGCAACTTACTAACATATGATCTGGGTAGACTGAAGCAATACCTCTGGCCTTAGTTTCTTTATCTTTTCAAATAAAGTTATTTTGAGTATTAAATGAGAAGCCACAAACGTGCTTAGAACAATGCCTGTCACACAGTAAATGTTAGCTACTGTTATTAATAGTAGCACTTCCAGTATTTAATCACTTACTGATCTTTGCCTCTTCCTAATTTTCAATACCCGCTTACTCTTCAAACCCAACTAAAAGTCTTCCTCTCAATTTTACTTCTAGAATATCTTCAAAATATATTCCTGTTTCCACTGTTCTAATATAAAAGATGACTCTTCGGTCCGCATTTGGAGTAGTATAAATTTCCTCGTCTCCCTGCCCCTTAGCTTTCTGCTTTCTCTTCGATCCTTCTTCCAGGCTGATAGCAACGATGTCTTTCTAACAGAGATACTGTCCACACTGCCTCCAGCTTTAAGAGCCTTCCATGGTTATCACTTAGGAGATGAGGGTGGGAGCTCCTGAGTATATTAGTCAAGTCCCACAGCTGCTTCTCCAACCTGACTCCTATTACCCAGGACCTTCCAGAACAGACTGTGTACTTGCATAATATTCAAACGAGGCAGCTCTATTAACCTAGAATGTGCTTTACTCTTTGGTAAAATTCTGTCCCTTCGTAGCTTAGCTCAGGTGCCACTTCCTTAGGGCTTTGTCCAGTCCCCAGCTGGGAAGAGCTATTGTTGGGTTCTTACGGTACTTTGGGGACACATTTATTATTCACATTGTATAACCCCGAAATCCCTGCCTCAGAGCATTGCAAATATCTGTTGGTTCAGAGCTGTTGAATTAAGAATTACAGAAAACATTCTCAACTGAAAAGTTAATTAGATCCACCTTGTTTCAAGATATATCTGTACTTACTGGGTTTACTCCAAATTTGATCAACATCTGTTTCAAAAATGGAACAGACATCCTATAGACAAACTTAAAATGCTGAACTGTCTCGTTGACACTGATATCACTTTATTTGTAAATCAAGGTTGTACTTTTAGACTTAACACAATATGTCTTTTTCATCTCTCTCTAAGATAGGTCTCAATTACAAATAATGCCTCTCGCAGAAAGGGAAATATCTTCTCTCTCCTTAAATTCTTCAGTGTCTGCTGTAACAATTCTATCAGGACCCTCTGCAGAAACTTATCAGCTCTGTCACTGTTACTCTAAGGATTCTGATCTATTTTTCTCACCATCACAGCAGGAAATTTGCCAGGCTCATTTAAAACTTACTGTATTTTTCTTCTTCCTCCAACACATTTATAGCATATGTGAAAGAGATTTGTTCGTTTTAACGAAAAGTATTTTCATTAGTTGAAAAGGGGCACTGTTGATAGGAATTTTGACAATCCATCATTTGAAATAATGTCATTTTAAAAATCAAAGTATAGAGCTCTTGCCCCCCACCCCCACCCCGGCACATGTCATCAGTTTGGCTCAAACTCTTACAAAAATTCTCCCCCAAAAAGGTATTATTCCTCTTACCATGTTTTATTTACCACGTCCAAACTGCTAATTTCAACTTTTGCCACATTCAACTGCTCTTATAGGAAAAGTAATAATATTTTTAAAGGTTTTCCTTAGTCTCGTGGATCCCAATCAAAAAGAGGGTCCAAGGCCCTGTCAGCATCCAGTCATGGTTGTATATATTTTTAGGGTTGTAAAGGGGTAGGCAAAGGTAGGTTTACAGTTCATATGGAAAATAATACATTAATAATACTAATACAAGAATAAACTTTTATGTATTCACAACTGTAAGCCTACTTTTGCCCACTGTATTTTGAATAGCCCATTCTGTGAAATTAAAATTCTGATCAGGTAGCCTTAAAATGCAACAATTTCTTCTGCAGAATTCTAAATGTAAATTGAGAAAGACTGGTCTACAGTGGTGCTCAAAGTGTAGTTCCTGGTGCAGCAGTATCACTAATACCTTAAAAAAAATCCTTAAAGAAATGTAACCATCTGGCCCCATCCCAGACCTTGTGAATCAGAAACGAGGGGGTGGGGTCCAGCAATTTGTTTTAACACACCCTCCAGCTGATTCTGTTGGGTGCAGACTTTGAGAATCACTTGTTTACCTCCCCCCCACCCCCAGCTCCAGATAATCATGACAATGTATAGAATCACTGTGGACATGAACCACTGTTACTGTGGGGAGTAATGGGCTAGCAAAGGTTTAGTACCTAGGGCAGGTATGTCAGAGAACTCCCAAGTCATAGTTCACCGTGGCTTCCTGAGGAGGTCACCAAGCCCTACGCCAATCAGCTGGCAGGATTTCCAGTAAGGCGGGAAGTGAGTGTCCGTTCTTCACAAGTATCCTCTGAACCTACAGAGGCCCTGTTAGCGTCTAGGGTTGGGGAGCACTGCAGCCCTCCTGCCAGGAGCCCGCTACAGATGCACCCGCGCCTTTCTGCCCTGCTCTGGAGCCCCGATGCGAGCACACTGCTGCTCCAACCTGGGGCTTGCAGGAGAAAGGTCTCTGAGCTTTCTACCAAAACACTGCTAACAGAAAATGTTGCTGAAACTACCTTTGGTCACTGCTTTTTGCTCGCTTTTTCTAGTTTTTGTTTCCCTGCCTGAGTTAAAATGGCTGTGAATCGACATGTTGGCTGCACATGACGACGATTCGATTTCTTGTAAATGGGCGAAGGGCCAGGAAGAGAGACCTTTTTGCTCCAGGGAGACAGTGACATCATGACACCTTACCTCCACCCTGCTAGGAAACCAGAGAAGCAAGATAGCTATCAAAACCTCCACCGCGCCCTGGCCGGTTTGGCTCAGCGGTTAGAGCGTCGGCCTGCGGTCCCGAGAGACCCGGGTTCGGTTCCCGCTAAGGGCATGTACCTCGGTTGCAGTTTGTCCCCGGCCCTGGTTGGGTCGTGCGGGTGGCAACTATCGGATGTGTCCCTTTCACATCGATGTTTCTCTCTCTCTCTCTCTCTCCCTCCCACTCTAGCTGAACAAAATATCCAAAAAGATGTCCTCGGGTGAGGATAAAAAAAAAAAAACCTCCACAGCTCCACCCTTCTTCAAACAAGACCCTAAATCCCACCCTGTACAGCTCCTAGCACGGAGAAGGTAAATCCCTGACAAGCAAAATGACCAGCTCAAAAAAGCATAGTGACCTGATCTTTTAGAGACTTACTTTCTTAGCCCTGGCCGGTTTGGCTCAGCGGTTAGAGCGTCGGCCTGCGGTCCTGAGAGACCCAGGTTCGGTTCCCGCTAAGGGCGCGTACCTTGGTTGCAGTTTGTCCCCGGCCCTGGTCGGTTGTGCGGGTGGCAGCCATTCGATGTGTTCCTTTCACATCGATGTTTCTCTCTCTCTCTCTGTTCCTCTCTCTCCCTCCCACTCTACCTGAACAAACAAACAAACAAAAAATCAATAGAGACTTACTTTCTTAGACATTTTTAGACACATTCTTAGGCACCCATTCATTTAGTCAACAATAATTACTGAGCATTTGTGTGCCAAGCAATGTGCTAGATGCTGGTGGCACACCACAGTGAAGATGCAGTTTGGCCTCGAGGGTCCACAGTCTATTATAATACAAAGTGGTGAGGTACAGGGTCAAAAGAGCTATGACGCATCGGGCGAGCCACGGAGGGGAGGGGGGGGGCGGACAGGGTGGACGAGACGGGCAAAGAGGGAGGTGGCACTTTATCCAGCAAGTCCCTAGGATCCTTTCTATTCTATACTCATATTCAAACAGTAACATCTTGGTCAGTGAGTGACAGTCTTCGGGTCTCAGAGGAAATGGTGAGTTCCACTTGACAGCAAGCGATGCGATGCTCCCGCAAGATCCTGGTTTGTGACTGCATAATGAGTGTACTTACCTAGTACAGAGAGCTTCACAAGATGAAGCCACTAAGACTTCGTTTTCAACCAAACGCCCTGGATACTCTTTTTTATTATGGAACAAGGAGAACTTGATTATGTATCATGGAATTGTACAGATAACTTTTCTATATTATGGGGAAATTGTTCACTATTCCTCATTTTAAGTAATGTCACTGTTGACTAATACATTAACATTTTTAAGTCTTATGAGATATTTATAAAAATACCATTTTTTAAAGGTTCGCCTTCTCCTTAATAGATGTTTTCATAGTCAGTGAAAATTCCACAACACTTCAAGAAGGCATTGTTCCATTTATGGATATCTGGTGTGAGTGTCCATTTCTCCTCCAGTGGAAATGCCCACCTTTGAAGGCTGCCTTTGTGTGCAGCCCATTAACATAAACTCCCTTTGGAAACATTTTAACCGAACAGAGCAGAACTCACTGTGACCTTCGCAGGACTGACTGGGGAACACCTCCCTTAGACGTTCATTTCCAAGTGCTCACCTGGAACAGCGTGTTGGGCCCTTGCAGCCGGGCAGGGCTCAGTGGAGCAACTGGACTAAGGCTGCTCCAGAAGTGGATGCTGGAGAGCAGTGGGCTCGGGGTCAGAAGCAGTCCATTTGGTGTCTGAGAAAGAAAGCACACGGACAGTTTTTGATGTCGATCACCTGACTTCCTCCGCACTGGGGCCAGGGGGACCAGCCAGGAACCAGAAAACAAGCCTCCCCATCTTAGGAAATCTGACGCTGTGCACTGTTTGAGTTTCTTTCATGCTAATTATGTTAGCAATTTTTAAAAGGAGAGCGAGGTATAGACAAGTTACCTTCCCTTAAACATTCTAGTGGAAAACTCAAGTTTGTAGCAACTTTTGTCCTGATGGTTTTTTCAATTTTGCCACCCCCCTTACATTAAACAAGATTTAGTTTACAACAAAACAAGACCCTATTTAGAGGCTTTATTTTTTTCTTATCTATATCTTCTTAGTTTTCTATAGTCAACATCCATTACTTGGGTTACAAATACAAACATATTTTTAAAAGGGCTTCCCGCCCAGCTGGTGTGGCTCCGTGGTTGAACATCGACCCATGCACTAAGAGGTCCCCAGTTCAATTCCCGGTCAGGACACATGCCCAGGTTGTGAGCCCGATCCCCAGTGAGGGGCGTGCAGGAGGCGGCCAATGGATGTCCTCTCTCATCGATGTTTCTACCTCTCTCTCTCAAAATCAATGAGGAAAAAAAGTAAAATAAAAGGGCCTCCCAACCTTCATTTTCCCTATCAATGGTCCTTTAATACTTCAGGTTTTGCTGCTAAAATACCCTGTAGCAGCTTCTTCAAAAGCTCTGAACTGGGTTTTCCAGATTTCACTCTGGATGTGGGGCTGATGAGAATTCATCTCCTCGGCAATGGTTGGGGGGGGGAGGTCCTTTCTTGTCCGACTGGGTGTGAAGCCAAAACTCTGGGTTCCCTGGGAGACTGCCAAGGGCTGCCTGTGCGGGCACACACTCAGCAGGAGTCCTGCCCGGCAGCCAGCTGAGGGCAGAGGAGCAGCCTCCCCCGCCGGGAAGTGCGCCTGGCTTGGATTCTCAGCCAAGGCAAACTCCGCTGCCCGGGGTGGTTCTGCACCTTTGGTGTCCAGAAGGAGCTCCTCGTGGTTTTGTGATGTCAGTAGGCGCTTTGTGTAAGAAGAACCACAGCAAAGGCAACTGCATTTCAGACTGCATCATGCTGGATGCTGAAGTGTTATTTCCTAGAATTGGCCTAAGCAGCGTTGTTCCTTACCGAGAGCATCTGACTTACTCTGAGGTTGAAAGTTCCGCTCTGCTTGGTGGAATGGAGACAAGCATCCACAGGTTCTCAAACTCTGAAGCTGCTTGAATGGTAAATTAATTTATACCAAATTATTTGAGTCTTTGCTTCCACAGCATTTCCTACCTACTGAATGACCTACGAAGTTACTAGGATAAATACCTAGTAAGTTTGGGATAAGCTTCCCATTTGTTCCAATCCAAGGCAATGTCACAAGTGTGGCATCCGGCCTAAGGGTTAAGACAACGGTTCAGCATGGGCTCCGACAGGTTCCCGCCTCAGAACCACCGCTTATCTGCTAGGTAACAGGTGTGGGGCAGTTCTCTGCCCCACACCTCAGTTTCCTACTCTTGAAAGTGGGGAGGAAAAAATGCCTACATTACAAGATTGTTGGGAAAATTAAAGCTCTTAATATGAACCTGGCACAGCAAATGCTCAACAGGTGTTAGAGACCGTTCATTAGTAATTCATTAGACGTCTTACCTGACACACTCGCTAAATGTGTTTCACCCATTTGTGGGAGAAACTCAACTGTATATAGAAAAGCACTTACTGTCTGCAACAGACAAGCCAGTCTCATCAGTGGTATTTGAAGGCTCCTCTCAGTCCTGGGAGGCTCAAGTCCACAGGCTCAGGTGATCTGAGAACTAGTGTTCGCATGTTAGTCTGGAGCCAGGTTCCAACCACATTAACGTTTAATAACTGGTGTGTTCAGAGCCTCCTCATCTACCCACTGATGATGATCTAAAAGCTCTAGAGAGACAAGGAGTCTTTTAAACTACAAAACCTTGCTAGCTTTCTTTCATCCATGGCCATACATATATACCCATTCTTTTTTAATCCTTTGCTCTATATACAAAGTGTAGCATTTATATTTCACAGTCTAAAATTTGTACCCATGTCTGGATCGCAGATGTTTGCACATGTTTTTCTAAGGGATACAGAATGTGTTCAGAATACAGTAGCCCTCTGTTTCTCATGCTTAATGTGTGAAATGCCTTTCATAATATATGCAAATAAATATTGTGACATGACTTCAGTCCACTTCTCTCCCTCCCGTCTCTGATCTCCCTGAAGATTCTGTGGTCTTAAAAAACTATCTGGTTGTTTTTGGGTTTTTTTAATTCTCACCTGAGCATATATTTGTTTATTGATTTTAGAGAGAGAGAAAAAAACAGTGATGTGAGAGAAACAGTGATTGGTTGCCTCCTGTACGCACCCCAACCAGGGATCGAACCCGCAACCTAGGTATGTGCCCTAACCGGAAACTGAACCTGCAAACTTTGCTGCAGGCTGAGCAGGGTAAGTGTTAGAGATGAAGGGAAGCAAACGTTTCTCCTGTGGTCATGGCAACAGAGACAGTTAAGAGAGAAACCAGAGCTGGGGCAGGATGCAATACACCCCGACTGCTCAGCACACACCCCACGTCCATGTGACTCAATTCCAGGTTGTTTTGATTTTGGCCCCAAGTTGTTATGTCCACCAGTGAATGCAGGAAGGAGCTTTCAGCATTTCAGTCCTCGGCAAACTGCCTCCACTCAGTGCTAATCCAAGGCTGCGGCTGCTGAAGCCGCCCGGGGCACGCATGCTCAGACCCAGCGTGAGCTCCTGCCCTGGTGCCCACACAAATCCGAGTGGAGCGTGTTACACATCACACCCGAGATTAACAAAGGAAAGGAAATGCAGCGTGCCAGCCTCGGACTCTGAACCAGGAGGGACAGAGTGCCTGGAAGAGGCATATGGAAGGAAGGAGATACAGAGGGTGGGAAGGTCCAGCTGGCACCATTCGGGCATCCATGGTGCCTGGCTAGGAACCAGGAGGGTTTCACATCCTGGCTTCTCCTCCGTCTCAATTTCGGTAACTCACGCCATCAATGATAACACCCTTGCTCTCCTAGCCACAGTCCAGTACGACCTTGATACTCTGACAGCTATGACCCTTGGCAGCTAAGCTCCAACTTGATCACTCCTTGGTACCCAGATGGCTTTTGTATTCCCATTTTTCAGTTCCTCCTACTGCATGCTTGAGGGGCCTTTGGGTGATCATCGTGTCTACATTAGTCATCTGGTTTCTCGAAAACTTATAAACAAGCCTCATCTCAGCTGCACTTCGTACAGGTCCCAGCAGCTGCACCGAAAGTATTTTAATGAGGTTACGGTGTCAGGGGAGTGGCTGATGATTTTCATGCACATCACTTTGTAGATGAAATTTCAAACCTGAACTTGGGCTTATTCGAGGTATGTGGTTTAATAAGGTCCCCAAAGGGCACTGTAACCACAAGACCCTGGTCATGCCAAGACTCTCCTCACCCTACCCTTCTTCCTCCCATGTATCCAGCTGAAAATAACTAGAAATTATTCTTAGAATAAATAAGTCAAATAAATAAATAGTTCTTAGAATAAACTAAATTCCTAGGAATTTCATTTTCAGGGTATGAAGTTATTACAGAATGGCTTTCACTTCTAAGACAGTTCAGAGAAGTTTGTAGACAGTTCCCACAGGTAACCAAATGTGTACATGCAAACAGTGTCACCGGCACCCACCGAAGAAGGGGGCGGAGCTTCTGGGACACACAGTGCTCAGTAGGAGGGAGCCTAACTGTGGAAGTGAGACATCACTGCTGCCTGTGGGAGGAAGGCTCCAAGCCCCTGCAGGTGGAGAGGGAACCCCAGAGCTGACCTGGAGCGAAGGGAGTCTCTCTCCTGTCCCCAGGGCCGTGGGCCCACCCTCAGGCTGAGGCCAGTGGCCTTGGGCAGTCCGGATGCTACTGCAGGAGACTGCAGAGAGCTGATGCTACTGCAGGAGACCCAGGGGTGCACCTGTTTCTGGGGCTCACAAAGCAGTTCCGGGGGGAGGGATCTCAGGATCCGAACCCGCCAGACACCAGGCCTACCCTAAATCCTCAGACTTGCGGCTTGTCAAGATACAACTGCATGAACGATACGGTCATCTAACCACACGCCGTACAACCAAAACTAATACAAAATACTAATGAATGTAAACTGTAATTGAAAAAAAAATTTTTTTTTAACTAAAACTGTATGACAGTCTTGGCTGATCTCAGAGGAACCGGCTGGGTGAAAGCCCAGTGCCGGAGTCCTGCCGGTTCTCTGCTCTCTGGTTTCTCCCCACTGCTGCTCTCCCCGCGGTCAGGCCCCTTGGCCGCCCCGCCCGAGCCAGGGCAGAGCAGACACGCTGGAAGGCGAGGGGGGTTCCACGGCCTGAGGCTGTGCCATCTCCCGAGGCAGCCCCAGGCTCCTCTGAACCTGGTCAGAGCGCCGTGCAGTGTGCTTTCCTCACCCCCCGCCCCACGCCAGGCCCAGGCCCCTTCCCCTCTCCGTTCCTGGGTCCTGACCTTGCCCTTCGCCTCCGTCCTTCAGAAACCCGGGCCCCTCCGGGGACCCCTGCCGCCAGCCCACACTCCACGGCGGGAACCCGGGCCCCTCCGGGGACTCCTGCCGCCAGCCCACAGTCCACGGCGTGAACCCTAACCCCCTCCGGGGACTCCTGCCGCCAGCCCACACTCCACGGCGGGAACCCTAACCCCCTCCGGGGACCCTGCCGCCAGCCCACACTCCACGGCGGGAACCCTAACCCCCTCCGGGGACCCTGCCGCCAGCCCACAGTCCACAGCGGGAACCCTAACCCCCTCCGGGGACCCCTGCCGCCAGCCCACACTCCACGCGTGAACCCGGGCCCCTCCGGGGACCCCTGCCGCCAGCCCACACTCCACGGCGGGAACCCTAACCCCCTCCGGGGACCCTGCCGCCAGCCCACACTCCACGGCGGGAACCCTAACCCCCTCCGGGGACCCTGCCGCCAGCCCACAGTCCACAGCGGGAACCCTAACCCCCTCCGGGGACCCCTGCCGCCAGCCCACAGTCCACGGCGGGAACCCGGGCCCCTCCGGGGACCCCTGCCGCCAGCCCACACTCCACGCGTGAACCCGGGCCCCTCCGGGGACTCCTGCCGCCAGCCCACACTCCACGCGTGAACCCTAACCCCCTCCGGGGACCCCTGCCGCCAGCCCACACTCCACGCGTGAACCCTAACCCCCTCCGGGGACCCCTGCCGCCAGCCCACACTCCACGGCGGGAACCCTAACCCCCTCCGGGGACCCCTGCCGCCAGCCCACACTCCACGGCGTGAACCCTAACCCCCTCCGGGGACTCCTGCCGCCAGCCCACACTCCACGGCGGGAACCCTAACCCCCTCCGGGGACTCCTGCCGCCAGCCCACACTCCACGCGTGAACCCTAAGCCCCTCCGGGGACTCCTGCCGCCAGCCCACACTCCACGCGTGAACCCTAACCCCCTCCGGGGACCCCTGCCGCCAGCCCACAGTCCACGGCGGGAACCCGGGCCCCTCCGGGGACCCCTGCCGCCAGCCCACACTCCACGCGTGAACCCGGGCCCCTCCGGGGACTCCTGCCGCCAGCCCACACTCCACGCGTGAACCCTAACCCCCTCCGGGGACCCCTGCCGCCAGCCCACACTCCACGCGTGAACCCTAACCCCCTCCGGGGACTCCTGCCGCCAGCCCACACTCCACGCGTGAACCCTAACCCCCTCCGGGGACTCCTGCCGCCAGCCCACAGTCCACGGCGGGAACCCTGGTCCCCCTCCGGGGACTCCTGCCGCCAGCCCACACTCCACGGCGGGAACCCTAACCCCCTCCGGGGACTCCTGCCGCCAGCCCACACTCCACGCGTGAACCCGGCCCCCTCCGGGGACCCCTGCCGCCAGCCCACACTCCACGGCGGGAACCCTAACCCCCTCCGGGGACTCCTGCCGCCAGCCCACACTCCACGCGTGAACCCTAAGCCCCTCCGGGGACTCCTGCCGCCAGCCCACACTCCACGCGTGAACCCTAACCCCCTCCGGGGACCCCTGCCGCCAGCCCACACTCCACGGCGGGAATCCTAACCCCCTCCGGGGACTCCTGCCGCCAGCCCACACTCCACGCGTGAACCCTAACCCCCTCCGGGGACTCCTGCCGCCAGCCCACACTCCACGCGTGAACCCGGCCCCCTCCGGGGACCCCTGCCGCCAGCCCACACTCCACGGCGGGAACCCTAACCCCCTCCGGGTACTCCTGCCGCCAGCCCACACTCCACGCGTGAACCCTAACCCCCTCCGGGGACTCCTGCCGCCAGCCCACACTCCACGCGTGAACCCTAACCCCCTCCGGGGACTCCTGCCGCCAGCCCACACTCCACGGCGGGAACCCTAACCCCCTCCGGGGACCCCTGCCGCCAGCCCACACTCCACGGCGGGAACCCTCGCAGGCCGGCTGACAACCGTTCACTCCCACTTGCCCACGCACGGGGCATCTGATTTCCTGCGCGTGCCCCCTCCCGGTTCTGGGCCATCTCGGGTAGGATCTGTCTCCCCATCCTGAGCTTTGCGTCCATCCATTTGCGTCTGCCCTCAGTCCCGTCTGCCCTCATGCCGAGGTCCCTCTGTCCCTCCACCCCTCCACCCAGCCTCTGTCCTTACTCCTCCTGAGTGGAACCACCCCGAATTCACTGTGTCCAGGTCCAAAACCACAGGGCTGGCCTGACAACCTCCTCCGCCACCCTGCCCGCTGGCAGCTGCCGCGGCTGCTCAGTGAGCCGGCTCCCAGAGAAGGCAGACTCTGGCATCAGAGTTGGCCTGGGCCTGGCCTGGGACTTCTCAACCTTACCGTGGCAAACACAAAGTTGGCCCGGGGAGGGGACCTCCAGATTGTCCACGCTGGCCCCCTTCTCACGTCACTTCTCTGAGCTACTTCAGGAGCCTGTCTCTGAGGCGTCTGCACAGCAGTCCCTCGTCACCACAGGGCCCTGCTTGGCTGGAAGACGCCCGGCTGAGAGCACACACGCTCGTTTTGCCCAGAACGGGAACCTCAGCTCTCCCAGCAGCAGCAGCATCCTTGAGCTGACACTAAATCCCTGGGCCCGGCCGGTGTGGCTCAGTGACTGAGCGTCGACCCAGGCACCAAGAGGTCACCGGTTCAATTCCTGGTCAGGGCACAAGCCAGGGTTGTGGGCCAAATCCCTAGTGGGGGCATGCAGGAGGCGGCCAATCGATGTTCTCTCATCAATGATTCTATCTCTCTCCCTCTCCTAACAGAAAAACCAATAAAGAGAAAACAAAAATTTTAAATAATTTAAATCCCTGGGCCACCAATGGGTGTGGGGTGCGTGGAGGCCATGGACGGGAGAATGGCCACGAGCTGGTTGCCGTTGCTTTGCAGACTTATGATCAAGGGCAACTGGGCCCCTTCCCAGGGAGTATCAATGCCCAGGGCATTTTACTTAAGAGCATGGATACTGGGGCAGACTCACTGGGTTCAAATTCGCTTCCACCGCCCAGTAGCTCTGCGACCTTGGACAAACTACTCTCGCTATGTCGCATGTGCCTCAGCTGGAACACGGAGCTGAGAAATAACCAAGGCAATGCCCGTGAAGTGTTCAGAACTGCCCGGCGCCCGTGGAAAGGGCTGTGGGCTGCTGCTGCTAAGGCCAGCAAGGTCGTCGCGGCGAGGCGTGGAGGCAGGGGACAGTGCAGCTCCTGCCCCTCGGGCACGCCTGCCAGCTGCGGCTAGCCCTCACCACAGCCGACATCCCACTGATCCTCACACTAATCCACTTCACAGATGCGGAAACCGGCTCAGCAAGCCAGTGCCCAGTCACATTCTCCCAGGCAGCAGAGCCAGGGACTGAGTCCAGGTCTGTGACCCCAAAGCCAGTGAGCTTAACTCTGTCACCGAATTGCATCCAAGTCTCCGGAGGAAGCAGACACAGGGTTCACCGGCCCAGCACTGTGCCTCTGCCCTGCTGGGCAAGAAGGAATGTTGTATTTCAAGAAAAAGGCTGCCTTCTCCTGGGCGTTAATAACACTGAAGACTTTCTTGCTGCACACGTTTGCTTTCCTCCCCTCCTGACGCAGGCCTGGGTTTCCTCACAGCAGCTCTGCTTCTACTGAAAAATCTCCTCCGTGGTGTTTGGCCTTCATTATCCTGACTGTTATTTCTTACTAAGGACTGCAGGGCACCACAACTCCACACTGACCATTGCGAGGGCCACATCAGCTAATATCTGTTTTCTTCTTCTTTTTTTTTTATCCTCACCCAAGGACTTTTTTTTTTTTTTTTTTGCATTCATCTTCAGATAGAGAGGGAGGAAGAGAGAGAGAGAAACATCGACGTGAGAGACACACATCAAGTGGCTGCCACCCACATGACCCCAACCAGGGCCAAAGACAAACTGCAACTGAGGTACATGCCCTTAGCGGGAACTGAACCCAGGACTCTCTGGTCCGTGGGCCGACGCTCTAACCGCTGAGCCAAACTGGCCAGAGCTTTTCTTCTTTCCTTTTTTTTGAAGACAGAGTTGTGGAAGGAACGGAGGGGGGACGGGGAGACAGAGAAAGAGAGAAGGGCTGATGTGAGAGAGACACATCACTGGTTGCCCCCCACATGACCCTGACAGGCGCCTTGTATGAACCCGCAACCCCTCTATGTGCCCTTGCCTGGGAATCGACCCTTCGGTCTGCGGGCCGACGCGCTAACCAGTGAGCCAAACCAGCCAGGGCAACATCTATTTTCTTATTCACAGAAAACAAATGGCTACTTATCAAGTTCCCCACCAGAGAGGACACTGCCATAAAAATTTCATAAAGCCTTCTGAAGGGTCCCTTGGCCTGCCCACCTTCCCTGGGTCATCCCTGGGTCTGCTCGGATGGCCGTGACCATGTTCCAATCACTTCGGGCCACTAAGAGCAAGAAACCGTCCAATCATCCCACTGAGCCCATCTCCCACCTTTCCCCTTGTGGACACCTTGGTCGGGGTGGAAAAGTAACTTCCCTTCACATTTTCCAGCAACTTTGTTACACGGGCCCTCGGATTATCTCTTGAAAGCAGAAGGAAGGAGCTCTGATGTCCCTTCCTGTCTGCGAAGCCCGAGCCTGCGTGTGGCACTTACCTGTGCAGTGAAGAAGGCTGGGGTGAGGGATCCTGAGGGCAGGGCCGGGCTGTTGAGGGCGATGGAGCCAATATCGGTGCCCGAGAGCACCAGTGGAGGTGCGGAGATTTCCAAGCCTTTGGGTTTTTTGGCCTTGGGGGGAAGAGATGGAGACCTGGTCTTGGAGCCCGAGGACAGGTTCAAGGGCTCTAGGGAATCCGAGTCATGGCAGGCGGCCTCCAGGAAGAGGCTTCTGTGTTCAGAAGGGAGGGGCGAGTTGGGGGACAGGGACGGGGACCGAGACGAGGAGGGCGAGGTGGACGAAATGCTGGCGGCATTTGGCAACATTAAAGAGGAGATCTTGGCTGAGACGGAGGAGGCCAGAAAGGCCTCCGATGTGGAGGGCAGGGACACCACGGGCCGGCTGATGTGCTTGTCGGTTTTATTGGTCACAAACCTGATGACAGTCCTGACTTCTTCCACAGGAGGGCTGTCTTCCGGCGGCTCCTCCAGCTTCTCCGTCTTGATGGCCTTGAAGGGTTCGGGTGGGTTCTGCAGGGAGTTAATGGTGAAGGACGAGTACAGGCCTGAGTGGATGTATTCGTTGCGGCTTGTGCTTTTGAGCGCCGACAAGCCGTGTCTGTGCGCCTCGTGGCCCTCGGGAGGCGCCTTGCAGTCCCTGTCCTGCAGCAAAAGGCTCTCCCGGCTGATCTCCACGGCGTGAGGGTCCATTTTCAGTATCTCCGGGAAGGAGACGAACTTGTACACAAACTTCTGCCCAATCACCTTCTTGATGATGTTCTGTGAATCACACAAAAGGAGACAGGGAGAAGGTCAGTGCACCAGAGAAACCGGGGAAGAGCTCCATCGGGATGGCGACTGGTGCGGGGAACACCGGAGCGCCCCTGGGGGAACACCGGGGCGCCCCTGGGGGAACACCGGAGCGCCCCTGCGGGGAACACCGGAGCGCCCCTGCGGGAACACGGGAGCGCCCCTGCGGGGAACACGGGAGCGCCCCTGCTGGGAACACCGGAGCGCCCCTGCGGGGAACACCGGGGCGCCCCTGCGGGGAACACCGGGGCGCCCCTGCCGGGAACACCGGAGCGCCCCTGGGGGAACACCGGAGCGCCCCTGCGGGAACACCGGAGCGCCCCTGCGGGGAACACCGGGGCGCCCCTGCGGGGAACACCGGGGCGCCCCTGCGGGGAACACCGGGGCGCCCCTGCGGGAACACCGGGGCGCCCCTGGGGGAACACCGGAGCGCCCCTGCCGGGAACACCGGAGCGCCCCTGTGGGAACACCAGAGCGCCCCTGCGGGGAACACCGGAGCGCCCCTGCGGGGAACACCGGAGCGCCCCTGCGGGGAACACCGGAGCGCCCCTGCGGGAACACCCGAGCGCCCCTGCGGGAAACACCGGAGCACCCCTGTGGCACACGCTAAGGCCAAGACGGAAGGCAGACTCAACTTGGAGCAGAATTAGATTTGCATTCTGGTCCTTTCGGATACTAACAGTGCGATCTTCAGCAAACTGATGTCATTTTTTGTTTCCTCGCCTGTGCCGTGAGGATGGTTATTGTACCTAAATGTAGTAACAGCTGCCATTTATTGAGCACTTACTATGCAGCCAGCACCGGGCATGCGTCACCTCATATAATCTGTCCAGCACTCCCAAGAGGACAGTATTATTCAACTCCCATTTGAAAACTTCGGAAAGTAAGCTCAGAGCGCTTCAATAACCCCCACAGCCACATGGTGGGTAAGTGGTAGAGACAGCATTTCCTTAACCATAATACGGTATTGTCTTACCTACCTCTGGGACTTGTGAGAATTCAATGCAATAATAATGGAAAAGCATTCTGTAAGCTGGAAGGCATTATAGAAACGTAAGTTATTATCACCAAACACCACAATGTTTTCTTAAATCATGCAGCCATTTTTTTCCTGTTTTAATTTTCTGCCAAGAAAGCCACTGGAGGAAAGCAACTTGTCTCCTTTGATATTTACAGCACTCATCCAGTATTTTAAGTTGCTAGATCTACTTATGGCTCTTGGGTTTATGGCTCCAGTCCAAAAACATGAGGATTTAAATGAAAACCAATAATCATTGCAAAAGCCTTCATGCCCCTGTGGGAGATTGGACTCATATTAAAGGCTGTATACCCTTCTTGAGGTTTATTAAATCGGAGTGTTAGCAAGTATCTCTCAAATGCTTGCGGGGGTCCGAGGTGCTTCAGGGAGACGCAGCGGGTCTCCCTCCAGCACAAGGAGCTAGCAGCGCCATCCGGCGGGAAATGACTCAGAAGGTTTCCTTACAAATGGTTCCTCCTAAAACTTGGGTATGCATGAAGGTTAAAAACAGACATTTAGGGGAGAAGAGTTTTAGAAAGAGCTCACTGAGCGCCTAGTCTGTACTGGTGAGTTGGATACAAGCTACCTCAGCTGATGTCACACTGACCCTCTGTAGGATGGAAAGTTTTGTCCTTATAGGCTGAGAGATGGGGAATAATCTGCCCAAGAACCACCAAGATCTACACATTCGAAAGCCTAAGCTTTTCATGTGTCCACACAAACTTGGGGGGAGAGAATTTCTTTTTAATTGAGCTGTAACAACATATAACATTCTAAAGTTTCAAGTGTACAACATAATGATTTGATATCTGCGTATGTTGCAAAATGACCACAATAAGTCTAGTTAACATCCATCACCCCACACAGTTACAAAAAAAAAAAATTTGTTTTTAATCCTCACCCGAGGATATTTTTTTCATTTTTATTTTCAGACGGGGGGGGGGGGTGTGAGAGAGAGAGAGAAACATCAATGTGAGAGGGACACATCGACTGGTTGCCTCCCACACGACTCCAACCAGGGCCGGGGACCAAAATGCAACTGAGGTACATGTCCTTGACTGGACTTGAACCCTTGACTCTTTGGTCCTCGGGCCGATGCTCTAACTGCTGAACCAAACTGGCCAGGGCACAAGACTTTTTCCTTGTGATGAGAACCTTTAAGATCTACTCTCTTAGCAATTTTCCAAGCTACAATAGAGGTAAAATTCAATTAAGTGCTGATGGTCCTTTTATGATCACAGTTCGGTGTGTAACTATCTTTCTGCCTTCCCCCTTGCTACACGACGGTATGCTAACCTGCCCCCACCCTTAACGAGATCATGTCCTAGAAGAGAGTTTAGCTAGCAGTCAGGAGGGAAAGGCATATTTACCAAGCCCCGGAGATTTCTGAGAAGGAATCCCTCAGGGCTGGCATCTAAGGGAGCAACACACAAGGTCCCCATTCAGCACTGGAAATGCCAGTAACACAAATCCTGGCAAAACCACCCAGCACCGCACACAGGAAGCTCGCCCACTGGGGCGTTAGCGTCAAAGCTGAACAATCCACCCCAGCGCCATTCTGCACCCGGGCCTGCCACTTAACCCACCGCATCCCGTCTGTTCCCTCTGACCTCTTTCCACACTCAACACGAGAGAAACGGACAAACCTTCAGAGAAATGGGGAAACTCCAAAGTTCCACCTGGGCTAACTGGCAGCATCTCTGTGCCCGACACACCAGGCCTGGGAGAAATCGGCTCCCAGCAGGAAAGGGTTAAGTGAGGGCGTCAGGAACTGCCACCTGGTCCCAGTCAGCTCCTAGTGCTCAGAAAGCATCCTGGGCCCTGGCCGGTTTGCTCAGTGGTTAGAGCGTCCGGTTCGGTTCCCGCTAAGGGCAGGTACCTCGGTTGCAGTTTGTCCCCAGCCCTGGTTGGTTCATGCAGGTGGCAGCCACTTGATGTGTCCCTTTCACGTCGATGTTTCTCTCTTTCTCTCTCTCCCTCATTCTCCCTCCCGCTCTATCTGAATAAAAAATGGAAAAATGTCCTTGGGTGAGGATTAAAAAAAAGAAAAGAAAGCATCCTGGCCTGGTGTGCTCCTGGGCTAAAATTCTCCGGTATCTTTGTTCTCCGGCATCATCTGTTCTTCCCTGGGGAAAACCGGATCCTCAGCCAGGGAAGCGCTCGTCCAAGCTGGCAGGTCTTAGAGATTGTCTTTGTTTTGTTTTTTAAGTACCAACCTTTAATTTTATTATGGAATCCAGGACACAATGTCTGCGCAGGCATTACATTCATGAACAAGCCAAGAAGTTATCTGGGGCCGAGATGAAAAGGATACAGATGCCCCTCTTCCTCAAAAAACAGCTGGGAACGGAAAGGCCATCTCAGGTAGAGAGCGGGACTCGATGTATCAAAGAGAGCAGAGAACAGCCCCCAAGGCTGTCAACGGGCACATGGATAAACCAAATGTGGCACAGTCACTGAACGGACTGTTATCTCGCCATCAAAGGAGTGAAGTTCTGTCCCAACTCAGATGCTCCCTGAACGCGGTGAAAAGCCAGACACAGAAGGCCACGTGCTGCGTGGTCGAGTCTATGTCTATAAAGTATCCAGAGTAGACAAATCCACAGACAGAAAGTAGGTTAGCCCACCCCTAGATTTTAGGGGTGGGGTGGGGGAGTGGAGGGGGACTGACCAAATGGGGAGTTTTGAAAATGTTCTAATAGTGTGATGAACGCAGAACTCTGAAAATATATCAAAGCCACCGCACTGTATACCTTAAACAGGTGAACTGGATGGTATTTGAATTTTACTACAATGAAGCTGTGTTACCTCAAAAAATTAAAAATTGATCTGGCATTTGACCCAGTGATCCCACTTCTAGGAATATACCCTAAGAAGCCTGAAACACCAATCAGAAAGAATATATGTACCCCCACGTTCATAGCAGCACTATTTACAATAGCTAAGATCTGGAAACAGCCCAAGTGTCCATCAGTAGACGAATGGATAAAAAAGCTGTAGTACATGTACACAGTGGAATACTATGCAGCTATAAGAAAGAAAGATCTCTAATCCTTTGAGACAACATGGAGGGACCTGGGAAGTACTATCCTAAGCGAAACAAGCCAAGCAGAGAAAGACAAATATCACATGGTCTTACTTATTTGTGGAATATAATGAACATAACAGTCTGAGGAATGGGGTAGACCCAGAGACGTGGAAGTGGGGTACAGACTGACAATCCCCTGAAGAGGGGGTGGGGGGAGATAAACCACAGAATTCACATGCATGGACATGGACAACAAAGGTGGGGACAGGGTGGGGAGGGAGGGAGAGGGGGAATCAGTGGGGAAAAAGGAGTAAAATCTGTAGCAAAAATAAATTAATTAATTTAAAAAAATAATAAAACAACAAAAAAAAGAACATGAGGAATCTTTTCCCCCATGCTGTATTGAAATATAAGTTGACATAAAACATTGTGTGAGTTTAAGTCGTACAATGTGATGGTCTAATGCACTTACATATTGCAAAATGACTAACAGAGCTGGGGTAGTTAACACCTCCATCACCTCTCATAATTACCACTTCCTCTTTGTGGGGAGAACATTTAAAACATACTTACCGTCCTAGCAACTTCCAAGTCTCCAGGCTGTACATTAGATGCTCAGAACTTATTCATCATCTCCCTGGAAGGCTGTCCCCTCCGACCAGCAGCTCCGCACTTCCCCCTAGTCCCTGCCCCTGGAACCCGCTGGTCTACTCTCTGTTTCTATAGAGTCCACATATAAGTAGTATCACACAGAGTTTGTCCTTCTCTGACTGACTTAGTGCACTAAGCACAATGCCCTCCAGGTCTACCCAGAACGTGAGGAACCTCAGAATGTCACGCGTGTGCACGGAAGGCGGTGAGAGCCTGCTGTGCTGGGTAGTGACTGCTCTCTAAGCATACAAAGGAAGACGCCTTGAAGGGAGC